TACAGCGAAAAATCTGTCATGATATAATATACACAACACAAGCGGCTTATACATGGAATGATGATTACTGTGATATAAATAATTAGATGTAATAACAGCTACGCAGCTACTAAAATGTCGAAAATCAATTCTGATCGTTATAATTAAAAAAACTATTGTCGTCGAAGGCGATCGGGAACCTGTAATAATAATATATATAGGCAGGTACCGCCACTAATGTCGTCGGTCGTTTAATTAACAGAACCCTGCTATAATGTACATGCAGAATATCATGCATTATAGGTACTTGTACTAATTTGGAAACCGTCGGATCGAATATCGGTTATAATTGTGCAAAAAAATGTAGTTTTTTTCTGGTCTACTCGTTATTTTTGTCGTTTTCCCTTGTAAGGGATTTCGTAAACGTGATATGTACAGAAATCATTTTGCTACGTCATGTGTGCATTGCTGCAGAGATCGTCAAAATGTGTTTTTTCTTCATCCTCTGCTCTTCAAGCATATTGCATGAGATAAAAATATATATTATGTAAAGCGGAAAAAACACGTGTCTCCGTCGTCATTATTTGGACACCGTAAATTTCCGAAGACGGCGACGGGTGCGCCGCACATAATATATTACAACATCACATAATATCTAATGTCTCACAGTTAGGTACAATATTATATGTATACACTATACACATACTATTAAACCATAGCTGCAATTATTGCTGAAACTGATACTATAAATATAAATGAATTATTTATGGAATGTCTACCCTGATCCTGCATTGAAGAAGGCAGGAATCGTTGAAATTATTTTTGCGTGCACATTTATTTCAAATTAAAACCGGGGTATTTAAACTATTCGTTAGAGAGGTAGGAAGAAGATCACAATATATTGACTGTTACATAATTGCCACAGATATAAAAAAATAAACACCCCATTTGCACCAATATTTATATTTTATATAGATATTTAAAAATATTTAAAACCGTCAATGATCTATGGTACATATCTATCATATATAATAACCTAGTAAAAATATATATTTTTGTTCATTAACCAAAATGTGAAGAACTACATTATTCGTAGTTGTTTTTGTAAAATGCATCGTTACTTTGAAGTACAACTTATTAAGTACTACCATGCTAACAACAATATATTATAATGGTATAACATAAAAATTCTGACTCTGTATCGCAATCAGATACGAGAATGGCGTTTTTGAACGATATAGCTCTAAATTTAATAGCTTGAATGTAGCACACTAATATCAGAGTACTCCATGGGATTCTTCCACCATTTTTACCCTAGCCCCCGCAAGAAAAATCATTCGTGGTTACTTAAATTACTTTTTATAACACATATTATTAAAATATAATGTAATATTTTTAATGTTTATAATATTGTTCATACTTGGTTAGATTACCCTTGGAATAGATAAGAAACGCACTCAGATATAGGTAACATATATATAATATCTTGTGACTATAATATACTGACTACAGTCTATACTATTTTATATACGATATTATTTTGATAAGTGATAACATATACTATGACGATAAGCCACAGGTACGAGTTCAACAAACCACATAGTACCGATACTATAATATAATTATAATAACGAATAACGATCGATGTTGTTTCGCTAATTACACGTATAATCTAAATATAATATAAATGGCTACAAAAAAGAACCTAACAATAGTGTATGAACTCAATATTATACAAGTTCGTTGCATAACAATTTCACAACTCAGGAGAGATTAACATTTAACAGTTTAAAATTATACATATAGCTACACAATAAATAAAACTTAAAAAGTGTACTGGACGACATCCGTTTAGTGTATTTTGATGTAAATACTAAATAGGTATCGTTTACCTATCATAATATTTTAACGATTATAAACTAATAATTTGATGTAAATGAATATTATCTGATTTTCATTACGCGTATTTATTGAAGGTAGGAATATATTCTGCATAGAAATTATGTTAAAAACTTGTAGCATATAAGTATAATATTTAAATCTCAACTATATATCGTCTATACCAAAATAAATGAGTTAGACTCATTTGTGATACTTGTCTTTACATATTTCTATCATTTCCAAAAATGTCATAATCCCTTAACAAATTACAGACGCTAATAATCCGTGTACGATACCGTGTCTGCTGCAGTGCCTTGTGCCTATTTTAGCACGTGGAAATTGTGATATAGATTTAATATAACATATAATTACTCACCAATTGCTTCCTTTCTCTGACCCACGTGCAAAATAACAAATTTAAGCTTTTAGCAGAACCAACTCTGTTTTGTTACTTTTAATATTAGTAGCAAATTTGCCTATCATCAAACTTCAAGTTAAGAACATTACCTGTGTCATCGTTAGGTTAGCTTTTTTACGATATTTTAATGTTTATACAATTTATTAGCATTTTTAAACTGCGATAATATGTACACTCGTCAAGTACATAAAAATTAAAATATTATAAAATAGCCAAGGAAACGATGCCGGTAATGCTCTTAACTTAATGTTTGATAATAGGTGAATTCATTCTAATTTTTAAACTAACGAAGCTACACGTGATATGCCGAGTGTATACATTTGTTATGTTACTCACTTGTAAGACGGAGAAAACAAATGTCCGTGTAGCGTCCTCTTAAGTATAATTATTAATATTATACATAAATAAATTAATAGTATAGTTATATTCTCTCATGGTCATTCATGAATATTGTACGTAGAAATTTGTTATTGTTTTATTCCTTCCGAGTAATGTTATAATGCAACTAGCATGCAAATAATTACTGCATAATATATTATACATCTATACACCTCAAGGAAAATGACGTATATTATATTATGTTATAGGAGTCTACATGTAATACTCGTACGTATTATTACATTATTACGCATATAAAGCATAGGACGTATACCTAGTATTTCACAACGAAATAAAATGTTGGCGATTCGTAGTAAAATATCATTTTTACATTAAACGTTTCAAATGGATTCTGATGTCTTCGGAGAAAATACTTAGGTTGTATATTTTATGCTTATGAAAAAGCTTGACAGAATTTTCTTGCTTAATATTGTGTTCAGCGAGCACATAAAACTATAAAAGTAAAGATTTGAAGATTTTTAGAAAATGACCTACATATTATAATATAATTTATGTGATAATATTTTATGAAGATATGGAGTATAGACAAGTTAATAAGTAATAACTAATAATAACTAATAATAATTACTATAATTTGTCAAAGTTAATACTTAATATTGTTATCAGTTATAATTTATAAACAATACAATGAAAGATAATTTATGCATAAAATTAAAAATAGTTGAATAGTGTGAATTTTGTGAAAAACTTACAGGAATTCATACTTACTCGTATACATAGAATTATTATCTAGTACCTATCCACTAAATATTATTGGGGATGGGATTTTAAAGCATACATTTTTATATTTTGTCCAGACACTTAATTTAATGACGTTTTATGTATAATTACATCTCAACTACGCCTAAGTGGGCACTAATTACTAGGCAATACTGATTATTAAAATGTATTTTATCTTTTTAATTTTTTGAAAAATTTAACTTTAATGTTATAATTAAAAGAGCATTAAAAATTGTATACATTAATTGTTTTATGAATACAAACATTAGGTACATTGAAGTCTAAGTACTGCAGTGTCTACGCACCATATCTATCGAGGCTTTGTTTAAAAACTTGATTATAAATGGCTAGAATAATTTCCATAATATAAAAAAAATATATGTAGAATTGTATCCTTTATATTTAGGTTATTAAGTAAATACTTACATCCTTACCTAAATGTATTGTTTTTAAAATGAAATCATATAGAACGACATTAAACCTGTTATATTGATTATTTGAATGCATGAACATTGTTATGCCCTGTAGATCAATAATCTAACCTATATAGAGTATAGACGTATACTGTATAATTTATTGAGTAAATAGGATAATAATTAGTTTTCTATTCATTTTTTTCTGGAATAATATTCAAATATTTATATACTAGAACAATTTAAAATGTATTACCAACCAGCTTATTATAATATAAACATTATGTATACATATCATACCTATAGCTATATATTATGACAGCGGCTCTTTGTATAATATGTAATGTAATATTTGTATTACTTAATATTTCTGTAAACCGAACAATTAAAAAAATGATTTGACAACATAATATTTAAAATTTAAAATTCTAAGAGCATCTATATTTTATTATTTGTATAATATATTACAGGGTGCCTATATTTTAGGGAGTCTCATATATTATGCATATTAAAAATGAATAAACCTAAAAAAAACCTTATAATATCTCATCTATTTATATTATAATATACATTATACACGGACGAAGGTCGAATTCGCACGACACCGGCGGCGGTTGCAGTACACAAGTAAAAGTGACTTGAGGGGCAATTTTACACACATACACATACATACACTGTTCCTTGTCTTGTATTAAATCGGATCATAATAATCTAATAAAAAAATAAAAAATGTAGATGTACATATATAATAATAATAATATGAGAAAAACCGTATACGTTATAGAGAAGAGCCTCATCTACACACACATACAGCTTCATCGTGCACGTGCACACACACACATCTACACGTATACTATATGTTTATAATAGTATATTATATAGGTGGATGCGGTATATACCAGTTGGTGTTCCCACGCCAACTAGCCCGTTCGGTCCGGTCCGCTCTTTGAGATAACCGGGTATACGAGTGTTGCGGTGGGTGGGCGGGTGGTAGGGGAGGGGTAAAAATCCTCTGTGGTATTTTTCGGTGGCCGCCGACGCCGCCGCCGCCGCCGAGGCAGGTGTCAGGTGTGCGCGTCGTCGTCGTGGTCGTCGTCGTCGTCGTCGTTTTTGTATAGGCGGCGGCGGTTGTTGTGCGTGCGAGCGCCGCCGCGCGCGTCTCTTTGAAATCCATTCAATCTCGTCCGCCGCCGCCGCGACGGGCGTGGCCTCCTCCAACGTTCCCCCACCCACCGCCGAGCTCTATAAATACCACCCGACCCGGAGCGGCCGACCACAGTCGCAGTACACCGTTCTTCTCTTACAGAACCGTTCGTGACAATATTATATTATTATCATCGTCTAAAAGCAAAGAATCGATCGACTGTATTTTTACTCGTATTAAATACAAATCTTAAAACAAAATAAAATCGTCGCCGCTTTGCGCACAGTGCTCTCGTGTGTGATTTGTTCGTCGTGTTCTACAGTTTTTGACCGTCTACACGCATCGAGCGTATATTTTTTTTACGTACCTACTCCAGTTCGGTTCGTTTCGTTTCGTTTCGCTTCAATTCGACGACAGCGACCATGAAATCCATACCTATGTGTCGCAATAACAACAACAGCAGCAGCAATAACAGCAACAACAACAACGGAGGTTCGACCGGACCCGCTGTGACTAGCGGCCGTGTACAACGCAAGCGCGGTGACCTGGAAGACGAAAAGATCCAAAAGTATCTGTCTAAGCTCAAGGATCTGGTACCGCTTATACCCAAGGACAAGCGGATATCGCGACTGGAGGTGATCCATCACGTGATCGATTACATATGTGACCTGGAGGACATGCTGGAGAACCACAGGTCGGTGAACGCGGACGCCGTGCACTCGGCCGCCGCTGCCGTCATGCTTTCGTCCTCGGTGGCCGCCGTCCGGCAGCCACTGGGTATCATATCGACACCAAACGCGCTGGCCGCCGCCGCCGCAGCCGTCGCCGTGGCCACACAGCCGCAATCGTCCTCCGAATCGGTGAGTTGTTGTTGAGGTCATATTATACGATACAATAAAAAAAAAAAACAGTTCCCGCCACTCCTCTTGGCACTCGCTACTTGGTTTCCCTCGACTTCGCGGTCGTAATAAAACGCTCAAATAAAAATAATTAAAATCGTAATATTATAATTTTACCACGAATGTTTAGGTGACCACTAAAGCATTATAATTTATCGGTTAGGATAAGTACCGCGGTATCGCCTGCCCGCACTTTCTCTCTTTGGGAATTTCACCGTTCTGTCAGCTGAGTAGATTTTTAATCGTTATCCACCATGCTCCTCCCCCCGCACGAACACACAATTATTACAATTTTTTGTTGCGAAATTATGTGTATTTATTTTTTTGTTTGATTTTGTTTTTCAGACAATGTCCCCTTCTTCTCGGACACAAGACAAGCTGTCGAATTCGTCAGACACGAGGGCCGTTAGCTGTTAAACAAAACAAATAATAATACTAGAGATATTATATATTATTATACTTTTTTGAAAACAACACAATTTAACACAGAAAAAGAATTGAAATATGCCACCCATCCACGCCGCAGCAGCCAGTGACGAGTACCGTACCGAGGAATACCGTTTGTCGAACATACAAGTACACAATAAATATATATTATAAAAGTATATATATACATACATATGTATTGAAAGAGAGAGAGAGAGAATACGTTTTGTATACACACACATTCCAAATAGATTCGACATTTCTCGGGAGTTGGACTCGCAGGTTCCGTTTTGCGGAAAAGTGCGTTTTTCTCGCCCCCCTCCCCTTTCACACTGTACAGTTTAGGTTTAAGTCCTAATTGTTATTATTTATTATTATTATTATTATTATTATTATTATTATTATATCATTATTTTTTTCGTTATGACTGTGATCCTATCAATATGTAGTCTAGGTTTTAGTATTTATATATTATAATTATTATATTATTATGTAGACGTTTAGTTCTAGCAGGTATATAATCTTACTATGGTAAAAATAAATTTTAAAAATGTTTATTTAAATGAAGCCCTATTTATATGACAACCGGGTGGGTTTCGACTCGAATCCTATAGAGAAATATTATGAAGTAGTCCATTATATTATTATATCCAACAAAAAAAAACACAATATAATATCAAATTTGTATAATATATTATAGGGACTACTACGCATATAAATTATATTCAATAAAATATATTATTATTATATAAATATTTATATAAACCCACGGCGTACCTTAGCGCTTTTTTCGTCTGTACATTATTTTTTTTTTCTCTTTTGTTTTCTTTTATTAAATGATTTATATTGTTTGGGTATATATTGATTACTTGAGTTATTACTTAGCTTTTAATTCAATCATATTATAATACGATTTATTACAAACATAAACTTCGATTTGTTCGTTATTTCTCGCGGTTCCTGTATTCCATGTTCCTGTGTATAGAAATAATATGGCTCACGTTGAATAATAATAATTATTATTTATTTCGTATTTTATGTTTTATAATAGACAATAGTAGGTACCTATATTTTCATACATTTTAATACAAATAGGTTATGTATCCACAAATAGCAACATTTTTTACGCCTGCAGACGGTCAATTTTTTGTTGCGGTCGCCGTTAAAAAGGCAGTTATGTGTTCAAGATGAGACGATATGAAAATATTATTATTGTGTCGTTGTGCGTTGCGTGCATATAGGAGTCGTCTCAATCATCTCGCAAAAAAATCGGTTCGAAGGCGTTTTGCACACGTGTAGGTACCTCTATTGTAATGTAGGTATACATACATGTATATCCGTCGTCAGGGGTTCGCAACTTTCTAAAAAAAAAAAGGTGTGCCGCAATAATTCAACGTACATTGCAGGTTCCAAGAGGTATGGTGTGTACATTACACATAGATTTATACAGTATGTTGTATTTAACACACGCCTTCGCGCGTCTATATTATAATAATATCGTGTTTTTATTAATTATTTTTGCGTTGCGTTCGCTGTTACTCTCCGAGTTGTTTAAAAATAATTTACCCGCCTCGGAGCGTATCGTCTCTACCGTCGTCGTGTACTGCAGTAATTGTGGGCCTACAATGTACTGTTATTACATATACCTACCTACTGCCTGGAAGTTATGTCGGCGCAAAAAACACAAAACAATAAAGCGATGTTTCCGACACGCTTGCGGTATTGTACAGGGTGCTTGTTTTTGTTATATACCATAGGAATTATTAGATTTAGATTTTAAAGAGTATGGCGATGCATTTAGTGCAAAAGTCAATATATATTATAATGAAAACTGAGAGGAGACAGCTCAATATTTGTTTTCTCTCTCATAGAAAGGCAAACGTTTTTAAAAAATAATTTTACAGTAAAATCAACTATTTCAATGTTTGACATATCAACATTATTAAAAAAAAATTATAATTTAAAATTCATATTATGCTAAATTGTTTTGAGAAAATATTTAGACACATCGATATTGCATACATATACTCAAAAATATCTATTATTCTCTGTAATTGTTGTAATTAGAAATTTTACTTTAAGATTACTGAAAAATCGAAATATTGGGTTTTATAGATATTTTAAGTTTTACTTGTATTATTATATTTTTTAAACACTAACACTTTCAAAATATGTAGTTTAATTTTAATCTATAGCCTATTGCCTAATTATATACTACGGACTTATTCACACCTACATGGCTACATTCTGCGGTAAGTGGTTATTGACTCAAAAGTGAATAACAGAAATATATGTGAATTTATAACATAAATAATGTATAGGTACTACTGTGGAACCCGCTCATACGGCTCTCGGAAATAAGGTTCAGTAGCTTATTAGACTCAAAATGTCTTGGAACGGACCCGACGTATCCAAATGCATTATAAAATTCACCCTTTAGACTCAAATTTCGTTATAAAAAAATGGTAGAAAATAAACTTTTTTGGTTAAGACTTAGAAATAAATTGGTTTTGAAAATATGCATATTTGTGTTGGTATTATCACTGGTTTCGATTCACGCTTTTAATTATGTATTAGCTCTCCGAGCTCGATGGGGAAGCCCCTACAGACTCCCCCGCGTTAGCTCAAAGTAGGAGTTTTGGAGTCTGAGTCGTTAAAATTATAAATAGTAGTATTATATAACAACCAAGAATTATAGTATAGAAAATGCGATGATTTTAGCAAAAATAAATTCAACTTACCATAGTGGCATAGTGTTACTAATAATTAATAAATAATCAATAAAAATAGTAAAATAAATAAAACTATAATAGTATAACTGTAATAAATATACAATCGAATATACTCAGTAATATAGGTTGACGGATAATCTCCGCTCAGAATCGCTTCTCATATGCAGTGATTTATCAATTAATATGAATTTAACACATCTATTACAGCGACCTACTCGTAATGACGATATACACTCAACACCTACTGTACAACAGAGAGAATAACTACTTGCCCACATTAATAGATTAAAATGTTTGTTTACAATTAAAATACCTTGAACGTTTAATGAAAGTTATTTCTTCATAAATCATAAGTGTTTCTTATATCAAATTCAAAAATACATTGTAATAATGGTTTTTTGTGTGTAAATTAGAAAATTTGTAAATTAATTAAATTTTATTAACGTTTGTATTTCGAATCGACCACATATACACTCGTACAAAAATATATTTAGATTCGCACAACTTAACGGCAGTAATCATAAATAACAATTTCAATTGCAGGGGAAAAATATCGAAAAGCATGTATGTAAATGTTATAATATTATAATGATAATCGTAATAGGACTTTTGTCCATCGTTTCTGAACTCCACGCAATGAAGGACTACCCCCTGCTCGTGAATCTCGTTTCGTGCAGTACCTATAACGAACGAAGCGGCGCATAATATGATAATAATATTATAAAGTATATTAAATACCCAAAACAACAATAAATTATCATTTACCAAGACCACGACTGTGTTTTTGTTGTTAATAGACGTCGTAGTCATCGCGATCCACTCGAATCTGTGTCAACTGTCAAGTCCCCGCAGCCGCCGCCGCCACTTTGCACAACTCACGAGTTGGGCTATTCCTCAAGGATTACATTTTTCGACATTCGCGACCAATGCTGTAGGTCGTCTGTTTTGTTGGATTCGCATAGCACTTATGTAGCACCAGAACTGCTGAGGACGGACGTAATTGCTGCAGGTATATTCGTATACATGCGACCAGGGTTTTGTTTATTTATTTTTCGGGTGTTTCAATGACCTTCACGCGGGTGTATATATATAGTAGGGACGTTAATATTATACTACGGTGCGGTCGTCTATCGAGTTTTTTTCCGTATAATCGTTTCACTTGACAACAACTCGTTTAAGTCGTCAAATACTCCAGAAGTATAAGGACGTAAGTATAGGTTAGGAGTTGGAATGGATGGGTGTACTAGCAGGGTACTCGTGACTCGTCATCGTTATTAATAACGTAATACTGCACGCGAGTGCAGTTAATATTAGCGTGCATCGTTAAATAGGTTAAACGACCTTTATCATAATATTGTCGAATAAAATATGTAATATTATGTTATAAATTATAATAACGTGGAAGACGATTTTGTGAAGGATAGAGAACGGTCTTTTGTTCGTACAACAATATTATCTACAACTTCACTCTTACAGAAGAAGAAGCCATCCATACATGCGTGTGTCATCTCCGTGACTCCGTATACAACGTACATAGGTGCAATGTACAAAATGCCAAATAATAAGTTCACAATAATCCATTCTTTAAATTAAAGTGATTATTGATACTTGAACTATGGACCATGTTATGATGGTTTTAAAATGTACAAAAAATGAACAGTCTCTAAGTGTTGCCCAAACTTGCTTCGTAATTATAACATATCAATTAACCCTCTGCGACAATGCCCCTAGATAGATCTTGACTGTAATCTTTATTATATAGGTCAATTCACTTTGACTTTATGAATAACAGAGTACATTTATTTTTGTGAACATGAAATTTGCTATCTTATACATTTGTAAGAAGTAAAAATACAATATTATGCAGGTGTGGCGTCCGGTTAATGATAACAATAATAATGTGATATTATGTGTAATTGTGTAAATATGACGTCTCCGATAAAGCTTTTTTATTTTGTACACAGTCGCTGAACATTCTCAAATACTATAACTATATTTATAATATCATCACGTCACACGTCTGCGCTTACCGCATATACCTATATTATGAACGCAATAACGTGTGTACGGATCAGAGGTTTTAGGCAGTGTGTTGTGTGCTCCTGTATATATTCTATTATATAAGATTGAACAGATGTAAAAAAATGTAACTATATAGCGTGAGTATTCGGATTATAATAATTATCATTATCAGGTCTCGTAAGTTCATTCACTAGAAAATGCATAAATGAGCACGAACTTATGCACTAAAAAGTTATGAAATAATAGCATTTGTATGCATCACAAATTTAAAACTGTGCAAAAATACTACTGAACGTGACTGTTGAAATATGCGCTGTCGCACATCAAAAGGAAATTTGGAAATAACAAGCATTATATTCTATTCATTTTCAAAAGGTTTTAATTATTTATTTCTTATGATGTAATTAATGATAAGCGTCCTGTGAAATGGGCTTAAATTATTGAAAGAATTGTTTCCGTGGTACTGTCGTAAAACTAATAAGACCATTTCGACATTTCAGAACATTCAGTCATACAAGAATGAAAATAAAACAAATATCATAATTAAATTTATATGGAATTATATTGTACGAAAAATCCACTGTAAGCCGAATATGCCAAAACACAAAAAATATGGATTATTAAATAGGTACTATTGTAATGAAACGGATTTGTACCTCACTTAGTATCATGCTTTCTTATAGGTAGTAAGAAAACACGAACTTACGACCCCTGATAATTATTATTTATTCTTCTGCATGTTACATTAATTTGGATATTGTGACAAAAAAAATTATACCCCAAGGCCGATACGTTATTTTCTCAAGGCATATTAGTACTATACGTATTTTATATTGTAAATATAAATGGGTAACCGTACCACCACCGCTATTGCAGCAGCACCATAATAATTTATATATATTACTATTATTTTTTTAGCCAGTGTCATTAGGAGGCCTCTTCG